GGCTGGGCGGCTGCGCCCGGGGGGCCGGGCTGTCCGCCGCCCTCCGTCCGCTCTGTGGAAGGGGACCCGGTGGGCCTTTCCGTAGGGATTGTCGCGAAGATCGAATGAGAGTCTGGGGAGTGCTGGGACAGCGTCTGTGATGATAAGCAACTAGTGAACGGCGTTAGCTCGCGACTACGCCCATGTTCTCCAGATTTCGTACTATTACTGGATAAAAAGTGCGACGCACACCTTAGACATGGGCGCCGTTAACCAGCCCGCCACAGTGGTTATAGTCTTCTGTAGGAAGGAAGGATCTTAACCCTGGAATATGGCCATTCTTCAGGTGGAGGTGACCCATGGAATACCTTCACGCCAAGGAAGGGTTTTTCTTAAGAAGCAATCCTGTTTCTACTTCTGTTTATAAATTAACAACTGGTGAGGCTAAGTTATGGTAGCGAAGGACATAAATTTTTCAGAGACTTGGTTAAAATCATTTTTAAATTCTTTTACTGATCCTACTTTGGACATATAGCTTATGTGGATGGCTTTCCTTTTTAATTTCTTATAAACACGTGTTGGACATCCATGCATAGAATGGTTATTTTCTGCACATCTCTTTTCTTGCCATAAATTAGTTGAAGTAGAATTGCAGGGTGCAATGATACAGCAATATTTTATAAACACATTATGAAGACACCTAACACTGTCCACTGCAGGAGCCACCCTACACACTGCTTTGGGGTATGACAAGTAAAAGAAAAAAGATTTTTAAGCAAGGAGGACCACAGGACTCCCATCTCAAAAGGGCAAGAGCCCTGGAAGTTTAGAAAGTCCCATTTGTATTAGTAAAACAAGGCAATGTAGCACTCAAACAATCTAATCACATAGTCCAGGCTTCCGCAGTCCACTGCAGTATGCTCATGTAGTTTCATCAATAACTGGTACTGGTAGCCAGGCATGGTGGCACATGCCTGTAATCCTAGCACTTGGGAGGCTGAGGCAGGAGGATTGCTGGGAGCTTGGCTACATAGTGAGTTCAAGGCCAGCCTGAACTGCATAGTGAAACCCTGTCTCAAAAAAGACTCCTCCAAAAGAAACACCAAAAACCACACCCAGGATTTGGAGGCAGAATTATTTAACGTCAGAAGGGCACTGACTAGGAATCAATTGTTCCTCAAAATGTCAGGCCTTGATCTCGGGGGTCTAGGACTTACATGGGATAAGCAAGCAAGAAGTACAGAGGCAGAATGGCTTGTGAATTGGGGATTGGTTCTTACAATATGCATCATATTGACCAGTTTATGCATCACAGTGACCAGCCCTTTCTAAGAAACAAAAGTAAGGGGAGCTGTAACCAACTGGAACTATTACCTGGGCAACTAACAAACTGAAGTATGCTGGTTGGGGGGTGCACCTTCTGTTACACTGTGCCTGGGCATAGTGGTGCATGCCTGTAATCCCAGCACTGGGGAGGCTGAGGCAGAAGATTACCACGAGTTCGAGGACAGCCTCGACTACAGAGTGAGATCCTGTCTCAAAAAACAAAAACATTGGGGCTGGGGATTTAGCTCAGCGGCACAGCGCCTGCCTGGCAAGTGCAAGGTTGTGAGTTTGATTCCTGGTACCAGAAGAAAAACAAAAAACAAAAACAAAAACAAAAACGTATAACTGGTACTCTAGGCTGAGTGTAGTGCCTCATTCCTGTAGGTCTAGTGGTAGGGAGACCAAGGGAGGAGAATTCAAGGCCAGCCCAGGATACTAGCGAGTTTAAGAGCACTTGGACTACATGCTGAGACCAGGTTGCAAACATCCACGCTGTAGCAAACGCCACAGAAGGGAGCTAGCTAGAATCATATCCGCGGAGGGGTGGAGTGATAAAAGGAGTGATACCTGTGAGTAGTTGGGGAGGAAAGGCCTTTTCATGCTTGGATTCCTGTGGAACAACCCGCCTTACCCTGTCTGGAAGAACACATGGAACATGCCCAGGAGTGTGGGCCTAGAGGAGCCAGGCCTAAGTGTCTGGGTTTTCCTGCCTGGGCAAGGCCAAGAAGCAGATGTAGGAAGTGTGCTCACTTCTGCATGGGGACTATGTATTTACTATCTCCTACCTGAACGTCAGCCTCTCCATATCTGTATTTGCCCCTACCCCAGTACTGGGCATTGAACCCAGGCCTTCACACTGAGCTTTTTATTTTTTTTTTTTTTTTTGGAAAGCCACACTGGGCTCAAACTTGTGATTCTCCTTCCTCCTGCCTCCTGTTTCAGCCTCTAAGAGTGCTGGGATTATTCACTTACATCACCACTCCAGGCTCTGCTCATTGGTTTCTAAAGTAGCTCATTTGTTTCCATTAAGACAAGGCACATTTTTGAGGACTGAAGAACATAGTTGGCTTAGGAACTAAATAGGCCTTCTGACCAAAGGCATGAAGGGCCTAGAGTCTCAGAACTGTGGTTCAAAGAAGAAACTAGGGTTTTTAAAAGGAAAGAGGAAATGCTAGTGAACTGCAGGATTGCTCTGTTTTGAAGATAGGTAAACTAATTATACTGTGCCATCCAGGTGGGATCAGTCTGTGACATTAAAGATTATGAACAATTTGGCAAAATCAGAGCCCTGGAATCAACAAGTTTGATAGTTCTTGTGGTAGAGAGTCTTCATCAGGCACTGAATTTAGTTAAGATTATACTAAAATCTGTAAGAAGTGTTGTTATGAGATCAGAACTAGAGGGGTTGAGAAATTCTGAGGGTTGAGGAGTGACGTTCTCTCTCCATTGGCAGAGCCCCTCACAGGACAGTGTATCCCCATTTGTCAGTGCTTGGTTGTACTGGGTTCTAGACCCAGGGACTTCAGAAGTGTATGATACCCTTTAACCTCAAGTTTCTTTGGCTGCAGCAGGTATTGGTATAACCTGAATCAGTTTGTATGCAATTCATAAAGAGGGGGCTGATGCCAGCTGTAGAGGTTGTATTGCTTTATCTGTACATTTTCCCCCAGCAAGAAGAACTGCAACAGAGCAGTAAAGTGTCATCTTTTGTAAGAAAGGAAAGTTCTTAGGTGGAGTCTTGCACAAAAGTGCATCTTGCTGGCTCTATCGTAAGAAATGTAATGTGAGCCCTTGGACCTCCTGTTAGGGGCTCACCTTTGGCCTGGCGTGGTTCTCAGCCCATGGCTGGTTACTCTTCTGGCCTCTGCATCTTTGTTGTCTCAACAGTCATATGTCAGCATCTCTACTCTCTTGTTTTCGTGCACTTAAAAAGAAATACTGTATAATTTTGAGGTAGTTAGAGATTTTTTTACACTTGTCAGAAGTAGTAGAGATCCATATCCCCATGGTGATAATTTGTGCATAATGAGAGTTCAGTGTCATGGCCAGGAAATTGCCCTTGATCAGGTTGTACCTTCCCTCCCTGTGTTTGTGTTTGCATCTTTATCGCTTGTGCACTTGTGTAACTGCCAACAGTCAGTTGCAGGACAGACTGTCACACAGTCCTTGCTTTTTATAGCCACAGTCCTTCTACCTTCTCCTACTCCTGGGGAGGTAACTTTCTCTGTGTCTGTAATTCTATTTTCAAAAATACAATATAAATTGAGCTGTGAAGTATGTAATGAGAGGGTTTGTTCTGTTTTCAAAAATACAGTATAAATTGAGCTGTGACGTACATAATGAGAGGATTTGCTCTTTTCAGAGTAATTCCCTTGAAATCTGAGTTGTGCTTATTGTTATTACTGAGTAGAGTTTGTATATGAATAAACTACAATTAACTTTGTTGTTGAAGAGTATCTTATATTGTTTGTGGGCTTTGGCTTTTTTTTTTCCTTTCCATTTTTTTAAGACAGGGTCTGTGTATTCGAGGCAGACCTTGAACTCACTCTGTAGCTCAAGCTCACCTTGAATTCACAGAGATCTTCCTACCTCAGGCTCCCAAATGGTAGGGTTGCAGGCATGTGGTACCATACCCTGCTAGGGTCTGGCTGTTATAAATAAAGGTGCTATGAATATCCACATGCCGACTTTTGTGTGAGCATGAGTTTTCTTTTTTCTGGGATAAATGCCCAGAAATGCAGTGTTGGATTTTGCATATTTTTAGCATCCCATGAGATATGGTTGCTGATTGGTTAATGTTCTAGTTACAAAGTCAAACAATTTTTGTTGTTGTTGTTGTTTTTTTTGTTTTGTTTTTGTTTTTGTTTTTCTCCGGTACCAGGAACCGAACTCACGACCTTGCGCTTGCCAGGCAGGCGCTTTGCCGCTGAGCTAAATCCCCAGCCCCAAAGTCAAACAATTTTTGAGAAGCCTACCCTAGCTTTACTTTTCCTATAGATCCTATTATGTGTTAGGGTTTGGGCCAATCTTGAGGTTTTTAAGGACTGTGTATGCTGTGATGTATCAGAAACACTGGCACTAGGGTTAAGGTACACTTGCCACTGGCACTAGGGTTAAGGTTGTGGGTTGGTAGTGTCATGGGTGGTGAACCTGGGTTCCCCATTTTCCCTCAGCGATGACGGCCCATCTTCCTCAATCTCGGCACTC